CGGGCCGGGCCGGGAGCGAGGCACCGGCCTGCTCTCAGCCGCGCCCGGTCCCAGCGGACTCAGCCCCGGCGTCCCGCCGCTCCCCCTTCCCTCCGCAGGGACTTCATCGAGCAGCACTACGTGGCCCTGAAGAAGGCAAACCCCGACTTCCCCATCCTGATCCGCGAGTGCTCCGGCGTCCAGCCCAAGCTCTGGGCGCGGTACGGTAAGCAAGGGGTGCCGGCCGGGAAGCGGCACCTGAGGACACTCGGGAGGGGCTCAGCGGGTGCAGGAGGGGGCATTAACGGGGCCCGCGGGGCGAGGTGGGCATCGCTTCAGAGAAGCGCGTTACCGCTGTGTGCCCTGGCGGGGGGGAGAAGAGGGACCTGCGCCTCGGGAGGTGTGTTGCCAGCTCGTGGCTGTGATTTCCCACCCCCATAGGATTCTGATACAGTAAAATATTTCCAGTTTTTTCTTTGTTTTCACGGTGTTCTCGGTGAAACACCAAGGAGGGAGCAGAAAAGCTCCTCTGTGAAGACTTTTTTTTCTTCCTAAAGCCATCTGGGCTGGATGAAACTAATTTAGAAACTTTCTTTCAAAGAGATGCAATGACTCTTTAGGCATGAGGTTCCCAGTGCGAACACACAGGCCAGTGGAGCCCGCTGGTATAGTGCCTGTCTTTTGTCTGTATGTGACTTGCAGGGCAATATCCCCCCCGGGTGGGGGCTGCTGTAGCAACAGCAAGTTCTTCAGCACTATTTTACTGACGTGTTGGTGAGAATCTTGATGCGAGCAGGCTAAAAGCCACCAGGTTGCTTTGGGATGTGGTGGCAGCCTCTGCCCAGCTGCTGCGCAGCGAAAGCTAACAGAGAGAGGCAAGGAAACGTGTTAGGCTGCACTGGCTTCTCTCCCGGGGAAAGGCTGAGAAAAAAGAGAAGCTGGCAACAGTAATTTGGGCGCAGGGAGGCACCCTGGGGAGCGGTGGGTGCGAGAGGGTGGTGATGGGAGCCTGGGCTGTGATGCCAGTGGCACTTGGGAAACCTAAAGCAGGGCTCTGGGTTGCCCTTGCACCAGAAAAGGACCAAGGCACCTTGCTGCCTCCCTCACTGTCTGTCTTCCCTGCAGAGTTTGGCAAGGAGAAAAGCGTGCCGCTGAACAACCTTACCGTGGACGAGGTGGCCAAGGCCTTGGAGAACATTGTGAAAACCAAGGTGTGAAGACAGACAGCAAATACGCATGTGCTGAATACTTGACTGATGATCTTTAATGTGAAATGTGTATCAATCACATAAATGCAACGTGCTTACCCTGAGCTTCACGTGTTGGGTTTAAAGCCAAAAGGAGATGCTGGAGGGAACGGCCGATCCAGCAGGGTTTACACATCACTTCCTCGGCATCAAGAGCCTGTCTGCCTGGGCTGCAGCTCAGCTCTGTCGCTGCACTGAGCTTTGGGGAAGCACGGGGCATCCTGCTGGTAGCTACGAGGTGGCGACAAGATGGAAACAGCCCTATCTTGCCAAGGACCAGCGTCCCCGTGCAACCAGCATTGGTGCTTACAGCTGGCGGTTTCACCCCTAACCAGCCCTTGGGAATGCAGGGCACACGGTGAACAAACGGTTTAACTCCTCCTTGGAGTGCAGGGGATGGAAGGGAGGTGGCATGGCCTAGGAGAAGGCAGACAACGTGGTGTGGCAGGGACTGAAGGCGGAGGCTCCCAGGGGCTGCCCAACCATGTCCAGCAGTGCTCGTGCCCGCTCCTGGAGTTGTGGGGTGCTCTGGTGCTGCTCGAGGGCCCGGTGCCCGCCTTGCCTGACGAAGTCAGCAGCAGCCTGTGTGAGAGGAGAGGGGGGAGAACTGGCTGCTTGCCACCCGAGTAGCTGCTACAGCTCATCCTGTCTGTCCTGAGCCACCACCATACAGCCCAGGGAACGGGGCTGATGGAAGTCCCCAGAGCCCCACCAGACACTAAAGTCCCAAGCCAGGTAAATCCAGCTATGCTGATCACAACCAACCTGCCCAAAAAACCAGTCATTGTCAATGAAAAGGAGTTCCCCAGAGACACAAGAAGGGCTTCCACCCTCTGCATGACACAAGTGCCCCCCTTCAGACGTGTCTCTGGGTGCTGAGGAGGGGGGGCTGGCATGGCAATGACTGAAGGCAGTATTATTTAAATAATAATCCCCATCCCCGGCTTTATGATCTCATGCTTGATTTTTGGGGGCAGGCACCCCCCAACTCTTACCTCCGGCCAGTGCAGGAAGAGGAGGTGCAGCAGCTCGAGGCACTGCCCCACCACTTCGGGGTCTGGCAGCGTGAGGGTGGGCAGCAGCAGGGGCAGGGCAGGCTGCCGGTGCAGCTGCTGGCAGTAGGCTGGCCCCTTCTCCGCTATGTTGCACAGAACTGTCAGGACCTGGAGGGAGAAGTCGTGAGGACAAGTGAGCAATGGATGCTTCATTAGTGGGCAGATTCCTGACAGGCTTAGGACAGCTCCCAAGACCTCCCCATGTCCTCCCTGGAGGTCCTGCCAGCCCAAAGCCATGTGCCTACCAGCTGGCTGGATTTTGAATGCTCTTCAAAAGCCACCTCCATCCCCGCCCCAAGGCACTGTTCATCCCCCTGCCAAGCAGACACAGCCTTACCACCCACCCCGCAGCAGAGCATCCCCCCGGACCCCCTAAAGCTTTAGAGCCTTCCAAAAGAAGGTGGCAGTGGCATCCCCAGGCCCACTCCAGGTGCTGGCAGGCCTGGCCCCAAGTTAACATCTGCCTCGGGACCCTTCTTCTGCTGGGCCAAGGCTCTCTCAAGAGTAAATGCCGAGGTAGTGACTTCAGGGGAGGCGGATGGTGACTCCACCACAACACAAGACCTTCCCCCAAGCTCTTGCTACCACCCCAAGCCAACCTCCAACTTGAGCACTGTGCATGTGGGATTCATGTTCCTCAAAGTCCAGCGCTTCCCCCCTCACCAGACTGGGGGCATGAGGCGAGGTCTTACCAACACGCTGGCCATCTGGGAACAGGGCAGCAGCTGCAGCAGGGCCGGGAGCAAGTCCAGGGAGAGCAGAGCAGAGCAGAAGAAGGGCTGGTCCGCTAGGGTGGGCAGAGAAGGATCGTGTCAATAAAATGGAGGTTCCCGAGGGAGGTCTCTGTAGATGAGACTCCACGAGTCTGCCAGCAGTCAAGGCAGGTCCCGGCAGCAGCCCTGGCTCGGCTGACAGCCCTGCGGGACGCTCACCCGTGAGGTTGTTCAGCAGCCAGAGACACTCCTGTACGATGAACGGGTGCTGCTGGAAGAGGCACTGCAGGAGGAGGAAGAGGGCGATGAGCAGACGCTCATCCTGGATCTGGGCTTCGCAGCCCGTCTCCTCTGCCAGCAGGTTGCTGAGACACCGCAGCACGGGGCAGACGAGCTGTGACGGTGGGAAACACAAAGCCCGTTAGCCAGACTGCATCCCCACAGCCATGCCGAGAACAGCCAGCACCCTGCCCGCATCTTACCAGCTCCAGGCCCTCAGGAGCATCTTCAGGGATTTCAGAAGCCAGGTCGAGCAAGAGCGAGGTGAGGGCAGGCAAGGCGCCCAGTGACAGCAACGCCGCGTTGGCTGTATGGCTGCAAAGGGAAGGGACAGCGTGGTCGCTCTCGGCGCTCAGAGAGGGAAAACTGCTGCAGCCCCCAAACAAACAACAGAGTCTGGAAATTCAGAGCGCTCTCCTGAACCACCACAGGGCTTGTTTCATGTTTGAATAGCAGCTTGTTGATGAGAAAGTTTTAAAAGCCCATGGAAAACAGGTCCACTGGAATTATCTGCAGGTCTGGAAACAACAGCCCAGTTCCTTCTTTGAGCACCCACACGTTCCTTTCTGCTGGGGCTGCTGGAAGCGGTGGCATCGGAGCAGCCACGCCAAGGCGGGCAGAGATTGTTGGCAGCAGCCAGCCCAGCCAGGTGACATTGGGCCAACCCCAAAAATGCGAGGATTTGGGGAGCCTGCCTTGGGCTCCAGGCATTGGGAGGTGATTGCAGGGGGGGTTCAGAGGACCAGGAACAGCCTCCTCAGGTTTATTTCCCTCTAACGGAACTCAGTGATCCTGCAAAGAGCATGTGTGCGCTCAGATACAAGAGCAGG